CCCACATAAACTTTCAGTCATGCCCAACATTTTTCTAATTTACATTAGATCTCTATCTTTAAGCCCTTTTAAGCTACAAGCTTTTGAAATCTTGATGTCAAAATCCAGCATTTTTCCAAAAAAATCCTGGCGCCTAAAGGGTTAACAGGAGGGGGCAATTCATTTTTCACGTAGGACCACGTAGGTTTGGACAGCTTTTTTTCCTTAATAAATGAAATCATCATTTAAAAACGGCATTTTGTATTTACTTGCACTATCTTTGTGTAATATTTAAATTTGTTTGATGATCTGAAACATTAAAGTGTGAAAAACATGCAAAAAAATAAGAAATCAGGAAGGGGGCAAACACTTTTCACACCACTGTATACGATCCTGTGAGTGACAAGATAAATATGCAAAAACAGATAAATAAGATTTTTAGGCAAGGCTAATTTATTTATATAGCACATTTCATACAGAGTGATAAAAGTGCTTTACATATTTTTTTTTTTTTAAATGAGAAAGGTAGGAAATAAAGTAGTGCTGCCAAACGATTAATCGCATCCAAAATAAAAGTTTTTGTTTATATAATATATGTGTGTGTACCGTGTATATTTATTATGTATATATAAATACAAACACATGCATGTATATATTTAAGAAAAATAAGTTATGTTTATATATTAAATAAATGTATATATTATATAAAATATAATAATGTAAATATATAAATGTATATACATGTAAATATTTTCAAAATATATACTGAATGTGTGTGTGTGTTTATATACACATAATAAACAAACACAGTACAACATACATATATTATGCAAACAAAAACTTTTATTTTGGATGCGATTAACCGCGATTGATCATTTGACAGCACTAAAATAAAGATAAAAGGTAAAACCATCATTAAAAATAGCTAAAAAGTAATTCAAATGAAATAATAGATGCACATAGTGTAAATTTAAATGTATAAAGTTTTAAAAATATGTCTAAATTAAAATAATGCAGTTGCATTGTCAACGAGTAATATTTATGGCTGGTAAGCGTTCTCTTTGGCAGGTCTGGTAAAAAGTGAATTTGAACCATGTCAAATATAAGTCAAACTGCACATAATCTGTTCTGAGGAAACTAAACATTTCCCACCCAAAAACCTGGGGCCTCAATTATCAACAGTGCGTAGAAAAGGTTCTCTATTTTGTCCTTATATTTACACACATTCCTACATATAAGTACGCACTGTTGTTTGTGTAATATTTAAATTTGTTTGATGATCTGAAACATTAAAGTGTGAAAAACATGCAAAAAAATAAGAAATCAGGAAGGGGACTGTTGATAAATGAGGGCCCTGGATGTTGCTCTTGAGCTCAGCAGAAGTTAATAGTTAACAGGTTGGACGTCTGAATTAATTCAAACATGCCACCCAGTAAATACAAACACATGCATGTATATATTTAAGAAAAATAAGTTATGTTTATATATTAAATAAATGTATATATTATATAAAATATAATAATGTAAATATATAAATGTATATACATGTAAATATTTTCAAAATATATACTGAATGTGTGTGTGTGTTTATATACACATAATAAACAAACACAGTACAACATACATATATTATGCAAACAAAAACTTTTATTTTGGATGCGATTAACCGCGATTGATCATTTGACAGCACTAAAATAAAGATAAAAGGTAAAACCATCATTAAAAATAGCTAAAAAGTAATTCAAATGAAATAATAGATGCACATAGTGTAAATTTAAATGTATAAAGTTTTAAAAATATGTCTAAATTAAAATAATGCAGTTGCATTGTCAACGAGTAATATTTATGGCTGGTAAGCGTTCTCTTTGGCAGGTCTGGTAAAAAGTGAATTTGAACCATGTCAAATATAAGTCAAACTGCACATAATCTGTTCTGAGGAAACTAAACATTTCCCACCCAAAAACCTGGGGCCTCAATTATCAACAGTGCGTAGAAAAGGTTCTCTATTTTGTCCTTATATTTACACACATTCCTACATATAAGTACGAGTTGGTAAATCACACACTTTGCGTGAAACGCACTGTTGATAAATGAGGGCCCTGGATGTTGCTCTTGAGCTCAGCAGAAGTTAATAGTTAACAGGTCGGACGTCTGAATTAATTCAAACATGCCACCCAGTAAGTCAACCTTGAATTCCTGCACAGCCTCGGGTTTGAATCGAAGACTCTTCACAGACGTGAGATGTTATGAAACACACGCACACACACACACACACACTTCTTACCTCCTTGTCAGTCTTGAGGAGGCACTCAGACGGCGCTCCTCCGAGGCTGTTTCCCAGGGGCCGCACCACAGCGTTTGCCACGTCTCGACCCACGCTGGCTGGGTAAGTGTGTAAGACGCTCAGGTGCCCCTGATCGCTTTGGACCACCAGGTGTAAAGAGCGCCACTCAGAGTACATGACCGCGACTTCTGCTGGATCTGACAGTGGCCTGAGGAGAGACGCAAACCAGACACGCAATCACAGTTTTGAAGGTTGAGACAGGGATATTCAGATATGAGGAATAATTTAACAACTCAGGCAAACAAAATCATCTTAAATAATCTTTGGCAGTGTTTTATTTTTAATTCTATTTTAGGAAGAATAGTATACACACACACACTCACACACACACACACACACTCACTCACACGCGCGCACACTATCTCTCACACACACACACACACACACACACACACACTCAAACACACACACACACACACTCACACACACACACACACACACTCTCACTCGCTCACGCACTCACACGCTCACACGCGCACACATTTTTGTATTTTTAGGAATTTATTTTATTTACACACACACTTCATATTTATATTTAATTTAAATGTATATAAATGTATACCAATTAAATAAATATACATATTATAATTGTGTTTTTTATTTATGTATTTATTTATATAAAAATTTGTACTATTGTGCAGAATGTGCACACATAAAATGTCTTTATATTTAATTTAAATGTATCTATATTTATACACCAAATAAATAAATGTACAATTAACAAGTATGTGTGTATAATTTATTACACACACACACACACACATATATATATACATATATATATATATATTATATATATTTTTATTTATTTTTTTTAATACCGTAAATAAAGCTATATTATGATAAATGCCATTACTGTGCTATAAAATTAACCGTCCTGTTTCATAACAAGCTTCCTCTTATCAGACATCAGTGTCTGCTGTCACTGACAGAAGTGATGAGAGAACCATGCAGGACGGTGTTTTGACAACACCACAGAATGTTCTGTGTGGATCAGCTGATCCGGAGCTCATCTGACATGAGGAACTAGCAGTTAGTTTGATCTCACGAAACAGAAGACCAACAAAGGCGAATCTAACCAAGTACAGAAAAACTCCCAACTCTGCTCCCCACGAGTCTCGTCCTTAAATCACAATCTGAGCGCTCTGCTAATATTAGATCACAAACTTTAAACATATGCATATATAAGTACACACAAACACTATACACATCTATGATTACACACACACACACACACACTCTCTCTCTCACACACACACACACACTCTCTCTCTCTCTCACACACACACACACACTCTCACTCACTCACAGAGAGAGAGAGAGAGACACACACACACTCACTCACTCACACACACACACACACACACAC